ATGCTACTCACATACACACACATAGGACACGAGAGCGTACACACTCAAATGTACCACAACTCGCCTCCCTAGCTGGTGGTCAAGTCCCTCTGACTCCCAGGTAGCCCTATCTACAACTACATGTTTTACACCTTCGTGGGTGCATAAAAGTAATCTTAGCTTGACGGCTATATTTAGTTTATACAAAAATACATAACACCAACCTAAAAACGTAACTTTTTTTGAATGATAAAAATGAAATGGTGGAATTGAAGCTTTTAGGAGCTTGATGATAGATGTTCTCATCTTACATTATTTTTTAGTATCCATCTGTCCAAAACTAATTTGGTCCTCAAATATGTATATACTTTTTAAATTGCTAACATTGTTAGCAATCCTTTTGACGTGCATGCACGTCATCTTATGTAAGCCATAAATAGCAAGACAATTTTACATTTTTCATGGGTTCTGAGTTTACGAAATGCTAATATTTTTTATTTTCTTGACGTAGTATGTTTATATATATGTCTATGAAGCTTATATCTTGTGTTTCTTGGAAGTTAGGTCGACAAGACACTTGATAATTAATGTAATCTAGGTAATATCATACTGCACTTAGTGTTCACAATAGTGCTAGTTTCACCTTCTCATGATAATATAAAAAAGTCCCCTACAAGCAAGACATTTGACTTACAGAAATAATATTGATATAAATCTAAATAATGACTATAGTATGATAGTCAAATAATAACGACTTTGAAAATATTTTACTTTTTTTATTTCTCTTTTCTTTTTCTCACATGACATGTTATTGATGGTAGTATCTGAGATATCAAAAAGCACAGATTATGCGCGATCTTACACTTATGGTTTAAGTATCGTATACAATGTATATATCTATATCTACACAACTTCATAATCAAGGTCAATGAAAATTTAAAATTTTATTTACTCAACATAGAGTTAACATAATCAAAATTTGATGATTCTAATTGTAGATTTACAACAAGAATTTAATGTCAATATTAACAAGGGGAAATAATGTAGTCACCTCATGTTTTGAAAAAATAATATGATTCAAGTCAGTAAGAAAATGATAGTTTCATTCCTTATAATAAAAAAATGGCTTTGAGTTTTAAAATGTTAAATCTTCTTCACATGATAAAGATTCAATAGATAAATTTTACTGAAATGCATAATAAAATATCAATATTGGATGACAACAAAACTTTGAACTTATTGAAGTTTTCAAATGATCAAAAATTTGTGAGACTCATGTCTGTATATTATTCGACTAAGGTAAGCAACTCTTTCGGTGTAAGCATGATGTAAATAAGATCTCCAAGTCCAAGTTGATGATCAAGGAATTCATAGGAAAGAAATATGTAGATGATAATAAGGTATATTTTCCAATTTCAAATGTATTATTCTTTGCTTGTTCGTGTGTACATATATTTTCGAATTTTGTTTCATCTTTTTTTTAGATTAAATGAATCTTGTCATAGCTTTCTGCTACGATAATTTACATGAGATAATCTTCATGCACATGACCTAAAATTTGTAAAAAAATTTACAGAAAATGTGGATTCCAAACCGCAGAATTCTTAAATGGAATAAAGTAAGACCTGGATTTGATAAATTTCCTGAAATTTATCACATACAAAAGTTCACAAAGAGTATGCTTGATGCTTATTTTTACATGATTGTTGTGAGTTAAGCTTTGGCTTCATTTTCTAATACTATATATGAATGACATATTTATTGCAGCTAATGAAAAATCTGATCTTGATAAACTTAATTTTTTTTCAAAACTTGACTTTAGATGAAAATAATGATGAGATGAAACATCTTGATATAGCAAGAAAAATTTCGGATAGGAAATTGCAAATAAATTTGGATGACGATTAACTATAATAAACACAAGGCAAGTATGCTAATTAGCCATTTTTGAATACTATTATTAGTTTCTTGTCCAAAATGAAAAGTAAAAATATTTGATTTTGAAATTTTTTTACAACAAGATTGTGTAATGATTCATAAATTGGATACTTTATTTATCGAAATTAAAAATTTTATCAAATAGAAAAAATATTATTTGGATGACATATAAGGATTTTCAAATAATTCAATGATATGTTGGATGTTTGTTTTGTATTAGATGTAAATATATTAGAGAATCTAAATTTTTCACTTTCAAATCATTCATTATTTATGAACATGAATTTGGATGAAATGATATGTAAAACCAAGTATGTGTTTATATTAAAAATTGAAGGTAAATATTGGAATTTTATATACAAAATTGGATGATTTATTCCGATGTAAATTTTTCTTTTTTTATTATAGGAAAAATAGACAAATAGTTTATTTCTTTGAACATATGTGAAATAATATTTTCAAAATGTGAATCTTCAATATGATAATTTATGCCCTTTATTATCTAGTTGAGAATCAAACGACTGACGTTAGAATAAAGCACATTGACATCTTATATTATTGTTTAATAAAAGTTATGTTTGATAAATCAAATAAGTTACTCAAGATTGAAAATAAATTCGTTCTTATTGATACCTTTATCAAAATGTTATAGATTAAAAAGTAATTGAAATATCATATTGAATTGCAAGTTTTGCATAAGAATACACATGACCTGGTCTAGCAAGTAGTTATCTAGATGTGTAAATTTATTGACATCGTGTTTTAACTACGATATAATTTTAGTTAATCCTAGATCTCTCACTAAACTATAATTTTCTTTGTTAGATTTGTACGAAAAATTTTGGCAGATTAATCATATGAAAATAGTATTTACAAAACCAAGATATGATCGAAAGTAGACATAGTTAAATTGTAACTAAGATTGATATTACTGATTAGCTAGCACTAAAAAAACTAACACAACTTGTCTACAACATAAATTAGGATTAGCAGTTAGCAAAATATGTGTACTTCACAAACGTAGTCTTATTCAGATGAATCATATGTAATCTATGTCAATTCAGTTGGAAATATTTATCATTAAGACATAATCAAGACTAACAATACAATATAGTAGGTAACAGTCATCTTCTAAAGTAGTTCAATACAAAGATTTGTGTAGTTCATTGAGAATTTCACAAGGAAGTATTTAAAAAAATAATTATATACAATCACAAATTTTCACACTTTTTATTGATTCATTTATAGTTATAGAATTTGAGATTTTTTTATTTGATTGATATTATCATTCATGTGTTTTTTTTGCTGAAATTCTTCATATGACTCAAAGCAGATAAATATTTGACATATATGAAAACACATTTCTTCTAGTGAAGAAATAACCTACTTTGTTAATCACAAATCCGCATTTCAAATTTCAAAGTGTCATATATTTTGGGCAGAAACATGTATCAATAGAAAATGTGTAGGTTGAAACGTACTTTTTATTGCATATATATATATATATATATGCAAAAACTAACCTTATAACTTATCTTAATACAAATCATACCAAACAAAGTATACTATGGATCAAATCTTGAGCTCTGAAGAAAGATGTGATTTCAGAAATAAAAATATTTATGATTGTAGTATATTATCTTCTTTTGTTTACTTTATAGCAGCGACTAGTAAGTATTTCACTAAAGTGAAGAAGAAAAGAGCTCTCAATCAAGATATATAAAATCATTTACAAAAATTTACTGTCTCTTACAGCCAACAAAGTGAATGAGTAGAGCTAATAACGAAGATCATAATTTTAAAAAAACATTGCATTTCCGTCAAAATTTAAGGTTTGCCAATAACCATATAATGAGATAAGGTTCTGCTCGTCAAATATCTTGTTCCTCTCTCATTTCTAGAATGTTGCAAAGTCTTCGTTGTCTTGTCAGATTAGAGAACATAAGACGTGTCATCAAAATAGCGTGAAAAAAATAGAAAAGATCGTAGAAAAATGTAAAGGAATGAAACTAAGGACTGGGATGGGGCTAGGATTAATCCGTAAGTGCTCACTTATGGATTTCTCTAGCGCAATGAACCATGATGAATTTAATATTTAAAGTTTAATTTTTTCTTAAAAATGAATGATATCTAAGTTTTCTAGTATTATAGAACTAAAGTGTTATATTTTTATCTTGTGTCAAAAGTAGTGTCTATAGCTCTTATAAACAAGGAAAAATAACTACACGTGTATCTGAACATCTTAGCTCCTGCTACACTTGCCTTACATAAAAAATAATTATAAAATAAAAAGTATATGAAACCAAGAATCAAGTAGTAAATTGGTAGTCCAAAAGATATATATATATATATATATATATATGCACTGAACCAATTTGACTCTAAGTCATACCAAATTTCACTACAAGGTATTCACCATCTTATACTGTAACAACAACCACATCCTCAATGCCATAAGAGGTATCTATACTTGACCGGTGAAATAGGGGGCTTCTGGGTTCGTTACGTGTAAATAAGAACTACATGGATATATGTGGCATATAGGTGGTACAACAAAATGTACAACCATAAATGTGGTATAGATATGGGTGTACCTTAAACCCTTATCTTTTCAAATGCAAAACCTACATGCAGAAGAGGGGCGAACAACAATGGCAGAGAGTATTATTATAATTGCGCTCATACAAGTGGCAGTTGCAGAAATTGGGGAAACACTTTGTATTGTAGGAAGAAGAGAGACAGAGATGGGATACGGTAGGTAAGAAGGTCACCGTACGAGGCTAGAAGAGAACAGAATTCATCATATCAACAAACAAAAATGGGCGTCACTCTTATGACTCCTACCACGTATAATGATAACCCGTTCACACTGCATAACCTGGAGTAATTAGTAATCATTTCTCGACGATGAAATGTACGAGTGCGCTCGGGTTTCTGGACACTCGAGGTCGAGAGGAGGACGCGCAAGGCGATTGGATATGGGGACAAGGATATTAGATTGTATTGAACTCACCTGGCGGATCACAATCTAATATGCCCTGGGGTATAGAAGACGGAGGCTGGGGCGGAGATGGTGTTTGTACGAGCCGTACCAAACAAATCAAGTTGCGAAGCGGAACTTTGGTAGACAATGATCATTCATACTTTATTGGATTGCAGCAGCAGATGGAGACGGGAAGAGGCCTACTGGAGGACGGGAGGAGATAGCTGATCACTCGAGACCGTATTGATTTGTCAGATTTCAGAGAGCAGGCCAGGAAAACGTTGACACCGAAAAGGTGCGCAAAGGAAATATCTCGTCTTCTCTGATGACATACCTCCGAACACATTGGAGCTATCATGACTCGGGTGCTTTATATTACAGTGCTCTTTCTACGTACCGACCAAATGATGCAGCTGCTTGAGTTCATTTCGCTGAAAAGGCTTTGTAACTGACCACACTTTCGGTGATAATCAACTGCTTATGAGAGCGCGGACCATGCATGGCATGCATGTGTTGGGTCTCGGGAGCGCGACCGAATCTTCAATCCAGAATCTACCGACGTCGTTTCTGTCGCGCAGTTCTCTCGCTCTTCGTGTTCTGTGTTCTGTGTTCTCAAACAGTTACAGATGCTCGATTCTGTTCGACACTCTCCGAAAATCGAGAGCTACTCTTTACTTACTTTGCGGAATATACTTCTCCTGCTCTCGCGGCTCTTTCCTGACTTCGCTCAGCCCGAGCCCCTTTTCGGTACTTGAAATTTCGTTCAGGCACGAGGCAGACAAAATTTGAGCCGAACACATTCGTCCCATCCGGCTTCCCGTGCCCTCGCTAAAAAAATGAGTGAGTGCGGTGCGCCTGCCTGCCTGCCTGGTGACCTCCTTCGAGCCGAAGGCTCGTCTTTCTGCGCTGGAAGCGGATTCTCCACACAGCCGCTTCAGTTGTTGACAAAGGTATTCTAAACTATAGAAAGACACTGGTTCCGACGTCCAACCAGCCAGCGATCTCGCGGTCCGTGATGCGATATATTCTCTGCATTCATCACCAGTCCTACGACGTAGCGACGTATTAAACACTTTCTGGTATATGCTCGTGTTCTGGCGACAAGCACAAGAACTTGAAACGATGAATAGACATGGCCGAAAGACACGATGTTTGACTAGCGGCATTTTATAAACATTCGGCTCAAGTGTCAAGGTTTCGAAGGGCTGCTGGATGTTAGAGGACAAAGAAAAGGTGGTTCAAATGTATCACGCTGATGCAAACTGAGCGTTTTCTCGCCATGCAAGTCGGCTGGCTCTAGAGTTCATGTCCTGTCCTATGATGCAGAGCAATTCAGCAATGAGAGGGCCACTGTAAAGTAGCGGCTACCTAGGGTAGTTTGCGCTGTCTGCTTCAGTTTCCCATCCAGCGAAGTACGTGCCGACCTGCTCGAGAAGTTTAAGTACTGAATTGTCTGACACCCAGAGCAATTGACCGGAGGATGAGCAGAAATCAGTGCGAGTCCTCACTCCTCGGCAGCCACTGCTTGCAATTGCAGACGGTGGCAGATATGCTCCACCACAAACACGTACTTGTCCTAGTGTTAAGTTAAACGGGGGATCTCTTCTATCCTGCAAATAGCATCGCCCTACCATCGTCGAGGATTCGAGAATGTCTTGTCCCACTCTTTGGAATCTACTAACCAAACGGCATTTCCTCGATCACTCACTCACTGGGCACACGGTTGCGAGATATTGTCCACCATCGCCCAGTCGTCTGCCGCTCCTTCTTTCTTTACCCGAACGCAGAGCGTAGTAGTGGATCGAGCCACAAATTTGGTTACCCCTGACTGAGACGCAGGACTTGGTCTGTAGGGCCGACCATTGGGCAGTTACGTAAAGTAAAATATTTGCTTTGCTGCTCGCTGTTTGCAAGATATAGATCCCCTGTTTCGAGCCTGTTCCTTTCCACAAGGAGCGGTTGTTTTCGATTTCACATCCGAGAGCCTTTTTCGGGGCCCACAAACACAGACGTTCAAGATAAAGGGTACGGTGTCGTCCTCAAGGAAAGCAGCTTTGCACATGCAAGCAGGTTGTCCAGTGCTATTACAATTCACAAGCTTTTCTGATGGAATACATGTGCCTCACATTACGTCGCAAGTTTACAGCGATTGTACCTCACAGTGGTTCAATTTATTTTTCGTTTTCCATACGGTATTCTTCTCTAAGCCGGATCAAAGGATGTCCGGATCAAGTTCGGCATTGTTCGGAATCACTTGACCCTAATCCATATTCTCTCTTTAAGAGAGTCAGACCATGTTTTTGTACGACGGCAAAGATCTGAGAATACTCAATCATGTGCGTCCAGAATTTTGAACTCGGAATGACAAAGATTTTAGCTGCGAGCTGCATAGATAAGGCTTTTGGCTTATTTAATTATGATAATCGGATGCCATGCAAATCAAAAGAAATAGATGTCAGTTGTGACGTAAGAGATTTCACATCAAAAACTGTCAAAGTAAACCATGTCGATGACAACCCATCCGAACGCTGCAGTACAAGATGTAGATTTATGATTTTGATTTAGTTTTGTTTATTACGTGAAGTTCATGATCATGATGACGGGGCGAGCAAAATTTTGTTTCATTTGTCAACAGTTGTCATGATCCGCAGTAAATCTTCTCATACCTTTGTCTTCTTCTGTAGTTGGGCTGGGAGTACATCAATTTCTCATGATTGAAGTTGAAATATTATCTCTTAGAAATGCTGCTATTTATTACATTCTCCTTCACGCGTGTGAATTTGCGTTAGCTGGTGACACACCTCAAGCAGCAGCTGCGGCAGGAATATTTCACACTTGCACGGCCAAACGGTTCTGACTCACAATCAGTAATTGGGGTCGTGAAATCCACTTTTATGGGGACGTGGTAGCAGTTTCACCTGCCATTGTGCCTTTGCGCGAAAGTTGTGTGATAAATATGACCGCTTTCCATGTTCAGGATGATAACGGACGATTATTTCCCCTACGTTCACCTTCCGACTCTGCAATGCTTCAATCTTCTTTTCCAAAATCCAGCTGTCAGCAACGAGTGGTGATCTGATAATTGCATACTTCAAATCTTCTGATGTTGCATATGATGATCGATCTGATCTACAAAGCTACTCACATTATACAATAAAGTTAATTTTCACCTGCTACCCAGCTCCATGCTTTGCTTTTCACAGTAGTTTCGAGCGAATTGGAAATTTCACAAATATGTTTCAGTTATTTGTTAAAAGTTCTCATTTTCTCATGCATGTGTGTGGTCGACTTCACGTCGGCAATTGCAGCTTTTGTTTTTCAATCTTCTACTTCGATGCTACAGTAGATATTGGCCAATAGTCAGTTTTCAAATCAGTTAGAAGCGGTTATTTTTTTTGACTTTATGTTCATTTTTTTAACGTTTTTTATTTACAAAGGTTATATTTTTTTCTTTTTCCTAGTAATTTGATTTACACTGAAGATGTGTTTGGCTATTTTTGAACTCACCTTCTTTCCATCCTTGTTTAACCGTTGCTTATTTTTAATTCGTAAACTTACACAATCTTCTTTCACCGACAGACGATGGCTTTCACAATAAATAATCTTTTGAATTATTTCCCACAGGTTTCCAGACTTGCTAGACTTGTAGGCAATTTGTTTGGCCGTTCGACTGTTCGTTGTTAGGACGCGGAATTATATATCCGTTAATTGAGTTAAGAATGTAGAAGGAGACACCAGCAATACCAGAACATGTCTCAATTCGATGGCAGGTGTGTACGCTTCGTTTTCATACCAGTCGGGGCAGAAAGGTGGAAACATACACATAAACATGTAAATAAAAAGTCTCGAAATATAACTTCACTTCCGAAGAAAACCTCCTTACAGTGACTGCAATTTCGGCGTAATGATATTCGTGTCCTTATCTCTTTTATTGTTTTCGATGAAGGTGGTTGGCAGACCACATGCCAAAAAATTGTAATGTACAGAGGGCATGTCGTCTTCGTATTCCTACGAGGCCTCATGGGTGACTAACTATCTCGTATGACAAAACTTTCGGGCGGCAATCTCCTCGCTATATCGGCTACTCTAGTATGAGGAAAAGTCCTGCTAGCTACCGTAACGCTAGATTAAGACGAAAATTCTAAACATGTATCTCTACAAAATCTCGGAAGCTCTGGACACAAGATTTCGTGTGTCGTATGCTTTCCTAATATCCTCGGCGATATTCCTGGCGTCCATGGAAGCTCCTAATAGACCCTTCCGTGTGAGTCCTACGGCGTAAAGTCCGTGCTCACCCTTCCAGCCATTCGTTGTCGGTCGCTTGGGGAAGCCATCATCGGCGAAAAACTTCTCCTCACCCTTCAGAAAGATACGCGTAAATGTGTCAGTCACGGAGAGCAATGTCCAGAAAGACAGTCCTCACTACTGACTTTGAATCTAGACAAAGGCAGTTCATAAACTCCAACAGCTATGGACATTGTCCGTCCACATTTCAAAATTGTCTTACCTTGAGCCATCTCGGTACGTTACTCCGATATCCCGTTGCAAGAATCACTGCATCGTACGAGTCCGTTAAACCATTTTCGAACCGAACGCCTGAACTCGTTAATGACACAACCCGTGGTACAACCTGCACATCGATGATGAGAACATCAGCACACGTTGAAAGCGAACAGTACAACACACAAAGGAACGGTGTATGGAGGAATGAAAAACATCATATCGGAAACATGCCCACCTTAATGTGACCGCTTTTGATCTTATTCAGCGTGCCCACGTCCAGTATCGGAGTTTTCCCGACCTTGTCTTTCAGCTCCATTGGGCCTTCTTTCGGTCTATTGAATCCGTAGTTCGCCACATTGCCCAAAGTCAACCAAGTATAAAAGACCAATAACCAGTCCGTCAACCAAACTGGAAAGGTCCTCATCAGCTTCACTGCTACTGAGAAGGTTGACGTGCCAAAAATCTCTCGTGGGAGAACATGGACCTGCAAAGTGTGTATCACCACGGTCAGGTATGGCCAGAGAAGAGCAACCATCATGAACAGCGCTCGCCGCTTGCAGACGAATTTCAAACCAAATCATCACCATGGCCACGTTACAAGGGACCCCACCCTTCCACATGACGAGCTTGATTCCAGACCAAACAGTCCCCAGTGGCCGACAATATAACTAGTCGACGTCACGTACACAATTCATGATTGCTTAGTCTACCATGAAAACCGTGATTAGTTCAGACGAATCACATGTGTCACCAGGCAGGTCGGCCTTTGGGATCTACCGTGTCCGACAGTAACTAACTGTCAGTGGAAGATACGAAACATCAGGCTGATAAAACACCACGTTGTCGAGTCGATCAGACAATCAGTCAGGGAGTTCATAGGCAGGGCCGAACAACGGCGACACAACTGAATCGCCTCATGACTCGGAATCGCACCCTCAGAAACGAAGACTATTTCGGATTGGAAGATAGTGTCTTACCGGGCCACGAACCACAAGAGATGGCTTCGCGCTGAAGTTGGCGAGATCCAAGGCAATTTCCATCCCCGAATTTCCACATCCCACAACGAGCACTTTCTTCCCGACGTATTCTGAACCATTCTTGTACTTGCTGGAATGCAGCAGATCGCCTTGGTAATCTTTCATGCCAGGGAGCTTTGGAGTGACGATCTCAGCATTCTCCCCGGACGCCACAATTAGCCACCGGGCCGTATACTCCTCAATTTTGTTGCAGGACGACTTCCCCGTCGTCTGAGTATTCACGCGCCACAACTGCGAGCTTTCGTCGTAATGGGCACTTTGCACACTTTCATTAAAATGAGGCTGGATGTCAAAATGTCTGGCGTATTCCTCTAGGTAATCCAGAAACTGTTGCCTGTTCGGATATGTCGGGTACGACGCAGGAAAAGGCATGAGCGGCAGCTCACAGAACTCCTTTGGAATGTGCAGGTGTAGGCGATCGTACGTCTTGTGCTTCCAGAGGGACCCTATGCATTCGGCCTTCTCGAGGACGATGCTGGGCACGCCCTTCTCCTTGAGACATGCGGCAGTGGCCATTCCTGAGGGTCCTGCTCCGACGATAATCGCTCCATCCACCGATCTCGGCATTATGTTCAGAAACAGGTCGTGCGACTCCTTTCCCAACGACTCGCTAGCATATGGCGGCATTGTCGACGAAATCAGCAAATTGATGTCTTCGGGTCCGCCTCTTCTCCTGAAGACTCTCAACGTTGCCAATCTCAGAGGCTCCAATCACACAATTACAGCCGCAAGCCCGCACAACGCTGACTTTATATATCACAAATCAATGTGAATCGTGGAGCACATTTTCCGCCCGGTACAGCTCTACAGAGGACGCACTACTCGCTGCGCTCGACCCACAGCAGCCCGACGGACAATTAAGCGAGAAAATTCGGGTGCAGATCTTCTCCAGATTTCACCACAGATTTGCACGGAGCATAAGCTGTGTACGACGACGCTCCGGGGCCAGAAGCGCAAACCGCAAATGACGAGCAGTCAGATTCTAAACAAGAGCCTGCGAGAGAGAGTCGGGAAAGACGGATAAGCAAACACCGCGCTGGTCGGTCGGAGAGAATTTACGAAAGACACGAGGCGCAAGGCGTGAAGAAGAGAACAGAACGTCCGGAGGCTGAATGCGAGGAGGAGGTCGCAAGTACACGGGAGAAAAAGGTGGCGCTTGGCAAAGAAGAGAGAGGAGAGTACAGGAAGTCCCTCCAGGATGGGAGGGCTCGAGCCCTAAAGGATTGGAAGCGAGCGGAATGCGAGGACGAGGTCGACGAGAGCGATGTAGTAGTGGAGGTGGAGCAGCGAAGTCTGAGGGCGGAGGGTCTGAAGGCTTTGTGGTTTTGGCCCAGAGGTGGGGAGGGGAGGGGATCGAGCGAAGGAGAGGATGCGAGCCCAGTCCGGTGGAATAGGCCTAAACGGGACGAGAGCGGCGTCTACTTGAATGGGCGGGGGTGGGGGAAGCGCAGAGCGTTTGGCTCGACACTGCTGCGTGCTGATGGTCTTGATGATTACCACGGCACACGTATTTCAGCCCGAGCGAGCCCGGCGCCGGATTTTCACTTTCTCCCTCGGCAGCGGACGTTCCCGGCAGTTTCGCATCCAGCGGTCCAAACCCGAAAGGGTCCGCTCCTGCCCTTCGCTGCCATTGCCTGCCCTGACCTGACCTGACCTGACCTGCAGGCCTCTGCTGTTCTCTCTGGGCACTCAGGGTACGGTTCTAGGCCTGGGGGGTACAGTACCGCTAGAGGCCTAGGCCCGCGGCTTGCCTGCCGGGGATGGTCGCGCAGGGCGACGGGAGGGAGGGAGGGAGGGAGGGAGGTGTTTGGCCCATGTTTCCGGCCGGGAAATTGTGGCCCGCTTTCCCGGTGACAGCGCAGGTTATTAGGGGCCGAAAAGGGATATCGGAATGTCAGAGAAATCTTATCGTGGACAAAAACTCTTGTCCTCGCCTTTATACCTCAAGGTTTTAGGCCAGAACATCTTGAATATAAGCCCACTGATATGTCGACACCTGGTCCTCATTTCATTCCCCTGAAAAATTATATTTTAACTCTACCTGAGCGGCTCGCCCCCAAGGTCCACGTATTTGGGGCATTTCTGGACTTTGCGTTGCGACCGAAGGGCGGTCACCGATCGAGCGGGCCGCCCTCGCTCCTTATCGGGGCGCCATAGAAAGCAGAGAAGAGAGCAGACCACAGACAGCAGGGAAGAGAGCAGAGCTTCGTTTTCGGGCGAATTTTGAGGGCGAATTTTGCGGGCCTCTCTCCGACACGCCCTTGGGCTCCGAGCTCTCGATGAGCAGGGGAGAGGAGGGGCGTCGTCGCGATGGGATAGGGCCTCGAGGATGCTCAAGCGTGCTTGCCCGCTGGAGTCCGATGGGCAGGACATGTGGGGGTGGGGAGGGGGAGGGGGGAGTTTGTATATTTCAATCCGGAAAGGAAGGATGTGATTTCCGGGGTTTTCTTTTGGGAAAGTAATCCTTTAGAAACGCAATGAATCGGGGTTTGGGTGATAGTTGGTTGAGGCCTTTAGACTAGTAGCAACGCTTTTCTCCTAGCTCCAACTTGAACAATCATGGCAGGCTTTTGGAGCGGCTCCATATCGTATCTTGGAACAGAACCGAACAGAACCCGTCCGAGGTATTCTTCAACAAGAATCGTACACCGGGGCCAAATGTGGTACCTTTTAAGCTGGCAAATGTTTCCCTCCTTTCTTTTTATGGTTTTCGAACCAGAGGCACCACTCAAGTAAACTTATAAAATTGCACGCGAAATAAATGATCAATTCCCTCGGACGTCTAGTCTAGCGATTAGCTTAGCTGTGATCATTCCCATAGAGGTTGATAATTTTCTCACTCATCTCGGGAAATCATGATTTAGAAATCCGGCTGGTCTCGGCAGATTTGGGCTCGAGCAGTATCGCTTAATTGATGACCGTTCCAAAGCGGGAGTGAAGTGGAGTGGAGTGGAGTGGAGGGCGAGGGCTGCTGCACTCATGCTCATTCGCCTGATCCCCGTTCGCCCGTCTGCCTCAAATCGTCGGTATCATGTGCAGCCACTTCCAAATGCGCAGCTTATTCTCACCGAATGAATCCGCTCGCATCAAACGAAATCAACTTGCAATCCTTCGCCGATCGCCCAGTCACCACCTACCTCATAATTCCGCCAACCTGACTTTCTACTAATAAAAGGGGGCATTTAAGTCATCATTCCAACGGCTTTAATTCGGCCTGCAAAACGATATCTTGCAAGAATTGCGTTCGCATCATTTTCGCTTAACGTCTTGTGGTCGATGGCATTCGCGGCTGCGTCGAGGATTAATAAGGATGAATGTCGGCACCAAACGCCCGCATCGCTGCGAGCTCGCCCGCGGCCCGGACAAGGTTGCGGATGTCAACCGGTTCGCCCGTTTGTCCTCCTCGCTCGATGGTGACGGGACGTCCGAGGGAGAACGAGGACACGTACAGTATCTTCCGCTCGTTGCTTCTTCTTTTCGTCTCCGCTCCCTCCCTCTGTCGGAAGAGGCTTACAGAAAAAGGAGGCCCGCCAGAAAAGCACACTGCGAAAAAGCAAGCCCTGCAGTGCCAGCCGTGACAGAAAGCGAGAGGCGACGCATCCCGGCGAGGCGAGGGGCGGGGAGGATCAGAGCTCCGGGTGATTGGGTCCGAGCATTGCTGCGAAGGTCGTCCAAGAGCCCCGATCATGAATCCCTGGAGAAGGCTTTTCCGGATGTGCGCTCGTTCGTGTGTCCCGGTGGCGACGCTCTGCGAGCTCTATCTGCTGCAGGCGCGACGAACGCATGAGAGCCCAGCCATGCCCCATGCCCCATGCCTCATGCCATCCCATCCCATGCCTCCTTCCTTCCTTCCTTCGTGCCTTTTCCCACAGTGTTCTGAAACATTCTCTTTTACTGTTGCCGATACCTCTCGGCCGAGCACATTACGCTGTACCACCGCACCTTCCCTTCCTTTCCTTTCCTTTCCATTCCTTTCCTTCCTTTGCTGCCTTCTTTATTGAGCCCCATCCCGATGGACGGTCCGTCGCAACCGAAACGTTCGGATATGCGCGGCGCCTTGGGCATCACCGGCGAGGCGGGCCACGGGCGCGTCAAACTCTAGCTTTCCGGCGCTGCCCGGAGAGGAAGGAGGGCCGGCGGTGGAGGCCGACGACCTGCGACTGGCAAAAGATGATACATTCTTTCATGCAAGAGGCCGTAGCTGCCGCTTTTGCCTGCCTGCCTGCCTGCCTGAGTGCCAACGGGGATGGATGGGAAGGAAGGAAGGATGGATGGATAGTTCTTTCGTTTGGCCTACGGGGCTGGGCCAAACGTAGGCTCGAGGAGGGCCAAGGGAGGAAGGACCTCGCTCGCTGCGGTGGTGGTGCAGACGAGAGGACGAGGAGGCCTCGAAAGCGAAAGAAGTGGGCGGCCTTCTTCTTCTCGCTTTCCATTCCTTTGCTTTGGATTGCTTTTGGTGTCGATCTCGTCCCTTCTTTTCGTCCCGTTCCGTTAGCGAAACCGATCGAATGTCATCCCTATCCTCGTACTCCTACGCCGCTGCTGCTGCTGCTACTGCTACTGCTCGCGGCCACTTCGCACTCTCTCGCGCTGGAGGTCCGAGGCTGTACAATGACTGATCTCAGAGGCGGATCACCTCCGTGCACGGACCTCGAAAGACCCATGTGCAACCTGACTCGATGGCTCTGGAGCTGGGGAATCAAAAGGCTGTATTTTAACCAATTTTGGCCTCTCATGTGCGGCCCTCTTTGAAATACAGACATATATATTGCCAAACTGTATATTGGCTCGGAGAATCCACATGGAAGGGAGGGAGGATCTATGGATCTGGGCCCGCGGCCCGGGCCCGACTTCGTGGTTAGTTGGTAATGGAAATTAGGGGCGGGGAGCTGAGCCAAAGGCGACTGAGATCGGAGGGGCGAAAAGATGCGCGTGAGGACTCCCGCCTTTGTCTCATGCGATGCGGGCAGGCGTGACATCAGGAGCCCTGACGTTACAGGCTCTCCATCACTGAGTGAGCAAATGTCTGCCGAGACAAGACAACTGGACGTGTGTAGTCCTGCGCCTGGGGCCGGGCCCCTCGCATTTTTCTCCATCCATCGTCGCGCCTAGTGGGGAATATGTGAGACACTGTTGCGGACTGGTTTCCAGTTCGAGAGCACTACGTGAACCCCAACCCCCAACGGCAGCGAATCATCCCAAGCGCCCTCGAATCAATGCCATCGATTCAATTCGACTCGAGTCGATTCAATTCACTACACTCCGTCCCGGCACCTCATCTCAATGATGCTCTCTCGATCCCTCTCCGCCTGCTGTTGTAACGGAAAACGGACAATCTCATTTACTCCAACCAAAAGGCTCTCTTTGACCTCTCTCTCTCTCTCCCATCCCTCCCTCTCTCTCCCTCTCTCCATCTCTTTCTCTCTCCAGTATATCCCCCCGCGGCCCACAAACGAACGACTGCCAGTCAGAGTACATCGCCGAGAATACCAGGCCCGTACCAGACCTGACTGACCTCGGGGCAGCGGGCGAGCGGATTGATTCATTTCACAACGGGACCGGGGCCGTGGACCGGGTCGACGAGAGAGCGGAACCACGGGGCCAGGGTCGGGCCGGCGGGGTCTCCGTAGCGAGGGTGACGGCCGGTGGTCGATCGAGCGATTCCAGCCGCCCCCAGCCTCTGCATCCACTGACGTGGCCAGTGAGCGAGGAGAGAGAGAGAGAGAGAGAGAGAGGAGAAAGGTGGGCTCGTTCGTTCGTTCCATCGGCCCCAGGGCAGAAGAGCCAGCGAGAGGGGAGAGAGAGAGAGCGAGAAGGCTCGATCGCGCTCGCTGGACTGTGTGTGTCTGTTCGTAGTCCTCATGATTCGAGGCTTGGGCTGGGAAAGCCGAATTGTGTGGCGACACGGACTTACTTTCAAAGCCGTTGTTTTAAAGGGAGGACACGTGTGAAAGGCCTCGCTCCAGTTAAACTATGAATGTACTTGCATGTAGCCGCCATGCAATACCACCGCGTTAACTGACATCGCCCAAAAAATGAAAACAAAACATAAAGGGATGCGCAAAAGAATTATGTCTAATTCTTCAATCAATCCAGCATTATACTATTTTAAATGAGGAGGTGAGGTTCATGTGGTGACGTGTACACTCATGGTCAGGCAAGCATGAGCCGCGTGGGTGCGCACTGGGCTCCTCTGAACGACTGCGACTGGGTGCTGCTCCTCTCCATTCCCCATCCCACCCCACCCGTCCGTTCCCCAGCTTCGCCTCCCAGCAACTTGCCTCTAGCCCCACAAGAAAGGCGGCAGCAGCTCAGCCTCGCCACCACCACCACCACCATCACACCAGCCCCCAGATGGTGTGCATCAGCACTCGATTTCGCATCAGAAATTCAATCCCTCTCTCTCTCTCTCTCTCTCTCTCTCACTCACCCTCCGAGGCCGCCCGCCCGCCCCGACTAGACT